CTCCTCCTCCTCCTCCTCCTCCTCCTCCTCCTCCTCCTCCTCCCCCTCTTCCTCCTTCTCCTCTTCCTTCTCGTCCTCCTACCCATCGTCTACACGCATGAGTGACCCTTGGCAAGAGTGATCTTCAGTGCGCGGAGTAGGGGGGCAGAAGGTGGCCAAATCTAAGCGCGGGAGCAACCACGATCGCATCGCGCTCAGCGATCGGGGGCGCCCCGGTGTGCACGCACCAAAGGTCACTCCAGCGAAGGGTCACTCTTGCGTGTAGTCGACCAGATCTGAGGCCCCCTTTCCAGACATCTGGCGTTTCGACAAAAGTCGATACTGGATTTTTTGGCCTTTTTCGGCCTCTCAGGGCCCTCACCGGGCCAGGGGGCCGTCAACAGAACGGCTCGGGATGAGAAACTGGTCCTGGGGAAGAGGTCGAGAGGTCGGGGGCCCGTATCTCGAATAAAAATCAAGACGCAATCCCCAATTGCTCCCCAGCCCTTTCGCGGCTCCCTCTGGGGGTCTCTCTGGCTTCTGAGAGGCCCCCCTTGCCTTCGCAGAAGGCCACCTCCGTCGCGCCACACCTCCTCGCGCGCCACAGGCAACGTGCCGCGGAAGGATGCGGGGAGACACCGCGACGTCCCAAGTAATCACACCTCGGCCGGATTGTTTATCAGTCCAGATGTTCTTCCTCACCTCGAGCTTCTAGGCTCCGTTTGGGGGTCCCAAATCGGTGCGGTGACCGACCGTGCGGAGAGCTCGCATCCCCAGGGGCCACACCACACGGTCCGCCGCCGAACTTTTTGGGGGCCCTGGAAGCCCCAGTCGCCCGAGACATCAACGGAGCAGTACGGCCCAAGTCCCCGAGGGGCAGCGATCGCGGGGGACCAGCTCAGGGGGGAAGCGTCGAGCTGGAGCCTGCGATACATCGCCGGCAGATCGGCGATAGGTCCCCGATAGAGAGTCCGCACGGTCCTGGGCAGGGTGGGGCCATCGGGCCGCCGTCGGCGATGGGGTGGGCGATCGGGGGTCGATGCACTCCCCCTGGCGTTGTCCCAGGAGGAGGGGGAGGAGGGGGAGGAGGGGGAGGAGGAGGAGGGGGAGGAGGGGGAGGAGGAGGACGAGGACGTGGAGGAGGAGGAGGGGGAGGAGGAGGAGGAGGAAGAGGAGGAGGAGGAGGAGGAGGAGGAAGAGGAGTGAGCCTATCCCCCCCTGGCGCTGGCTGTCCCTCAAGGGCTTCTGGCGCTGGTGATCTCTGTCCGCGGGCGGGCTCTCGAGGGCCTCGGCCCTTGGGGGCCGCCTCCGGGCCCCGGGGCAGGAAAGACTCGGGCCGGGGGAGGGCGGTCCGTTGTTTCAAAATGCGGCCCTCGCCTGAGCGCCGCGCACGTTCATCTTGAAAAGGTTGCAAGAGGTCCACGCGTGGAGGGCGGTTCGTTTTCAGGATGTGGCTCTCGCCGTAGCGCCGCGCACATCTGTCTGGGCGTTCAGCCGCTTCCAAGATTCGGTGGGGGACCTCAAGGGCCGCGGATTGAGCAAATCATGTGGCTGGCGTCGTCGTCGTCGTCGTCGTCGTCGTCGTCGTCGTCGTCGTAGCCGCAGGAAGAGCTCTCGGGCGCCTCTGGGGGTGGCCCTCGTCGCTGCGGCCGGGCGGCGGCGGGGGACTGGGGAGGGCAGGACAGGGGTGGGGGCCTGGGGAGAATGGCTTAGAACAGATAGTGGTCGGACGCCGACGACGGGGACGACGACGGACGACGGAGGAGGGGGGTGGCCGTGAGGAGGGGGGAGCAGGAAGAGAGTGAGGGAGGAGCTAGGATGGGCTGAGGCGGGGCGAGGAGGAGGATGTGGGTGGAGGAGGAGGAGGAGGATGGAAGAGGAGAAGAGGGAGGTGGAGGGTAGGAGCCCATGAGGGGGGAGTGAGGAGGAGGAGGAGGAGGAGGAGGAGGAAGGAGGAGGGGAGGAGGAGGGAGGAGGGAGGCTGGAGGAGGAGAGAAGGAGGACGGTAGGAGGCGGAGGAGGGAGGAGGGAGGAGGAGAAGGGGGGGGGGATAAAATATAAGAAGGGCACACGCGGTCGCCATGCTGGACCGGGGCCCCCTCGAAGTGGGCCCTGCCAGAGGTAGAGTCAGGTTAACCGAAGAGCAGTGCACGGCAGCGTCGAGCTTTAGCACAGCTCAATCGACATATGCGTTCGTCTGAAGCAGGGGAGGCCGTGTCCAAGACGTGATGGTATACGTTTCAGCGCCGCAGGCGAAAACTTGAACCTGGGGCCTAAGTTCTCCCCGCGATGATTTCCTCGGCATCGAGGATCGAGGGGGGCGGGTGGCCGAGTTGGGAGTCGGGGGGACAGCGGGCAACAACGTGGTGAGAAAGAGCGGCACGCTGCACGGCCTCCGAAACAGCAGGCCCGTTGCCGTGAGTCTCTTGCAGCGTGTCAGCTGGGCGGCCAACAGCAGCCGCGACTTGATGAAGCACGGCCGGACCTAGGACACAGCAACACCCCTCACGAGCATGAGACCCTCCGCTGGCCAAAGTGAAGAACAATCGAGGGTACCCTCCCCCAATAAGTTATACACAAGAACATCCAACAAGCACGAAGAGCCCCAGGACATCCTCCCCGAACCGACCTCGATCTCATATTGCTGGCAGGGCGGATGCAGCTCCGGATGGCGAGCGGGACGGCGGCGCCGCCGCAGAGAGGTGGCCGCCCGCTCGACGGAGCTTCCCTGCGCTCGGGCGAACAGGCAGCCAGCAGCTGCAGCGAGTCGACCCCTCTCAGTGTGCGTGTCGGGCAGGCTGCCCCCTT